GGGGCTTATTGAGCCTTGCCCCCCTCGTCGGCCCGAGGCCGTCTCGAACCTCCAATTTTGCGCAAGAGAGAGAGAGAGAGAGAGAGAGAGAGAGAAACAAAAAAAAGAAAGAGAGAGAGAGAGGGGGGCGAAACGCTGGGCTCAACCTTCTCATACCTGCAGTAGTACTTGAGCTACATGCTAGTAGACGGTGAGGGCATGGAGACTGTACGCTCGACTCCAATGCGCATCACGTGCTCACACTGCTATAGTATAGCACGCATGCAGCTGCTACGATGGAGAGATGTTATCCTATGTACGTGTCATGCGTCAGTCGCTCTTACAGTCACATGAGCAAGCAGAGAGATCCTCAGAGTATGTGTCAAGGAAAAGCGGAGGTAGGAATCGTTGGATCAATCGATGGGCACGACGTAAACACTCTACCAGCATAAGAGCCTCCCATGCCTTGATGTCGGCGCCGCCGTAGGTAGTGCACATTGCATACAATATGAGATGTTGAACTGCGCTAGCTTGGCATGGGGGAGGGGCGCTGCTTGGGGCAACCCCAGGAGGAGGAGGAGTAGGAGGAGGAGGAGGAGAAGGAGGAGGGGGAGGAGGAAGAGGAAGAGTAGGAGGAGGAGGAGGGAGGAGGCCTCTTGGGAACCTCTTGAGGCACTTTTGGGGCCTCCTGGGAGCTTCCTGGGGGCCACTTGGAGGCCTCTAGGGGGGCTTCTTGGGCCTGCTGGCGGCCTTTTGGGCTTCTTGGGGGCCTCTTTGGCCGTCTTAGGGCGTTCTGGCCCGTCTGATGCCATCGGAAGCCGTCTTTGGGCCTCTCTGAACCGACTTGGGGCATTGTTGGGGCGCTTCAGGGCCGTCGTGGAGGCCACCTTGAGCATCGTGCAGATCTGTTGGGCCTTCTTGGGGCCCTCTGTGGGCCGTCTTGGGAGCTTCTGAGGCCGTTCTGGTGCCATTTTGGAGGCCTCTTGGGCGATCTTGGAGCGACCTTGGGGGCCTCTTGGGCCGCTTTGGGCCGTCGGAAGGCCGAACAGAGTCAAATGCCACAATCTTTCAAACACTTAAGGCAGATCAATGATTTGGGCTTCTTCTTCTTCTTCGGGCCTTCCTGGAGGACCTCTTGGAGGCCACTTGGGCCGTCTTGGACGCCTCTTGGGGGCCGTCTTGGGCCGTCTTGGGTGCATCTTGGGCCGTCTTGGGCGCATCTTGGTGCCATCTTGGGCTCTGTTGGGGCCATCGTGGCCGTCTTGGAGGCGTCTTGGAGACATCAATGAGGCCATCTTGGCCGTCTGGCGCTGGCAGGCCGATGACCTAGGCAGCTTATGGGTCCTTATTCCGTTCTGGCGGGATGGGAATCTCTGAAGAAATCTAGCACGCCAGGCACCCCTGTGGAAAATAAACAGGGGGCGGCGGATCCAGTGGCCTGCGGCTCATCACGCCACCGCGCCTGGGTTGTAGGTCAGAGGCCTCTTGGATGCGGGAGGCCTCTCAAAAGCCTCTTGGATGTGGTTTGGGGGTCGTCTTGGGGCGTCTCGGGGGCCTTTGACCTCTGTGGGGCTCTTGGGGGCCTCTTGGGGGCACCTCCGGGGCATCTGCGCGGATCATGGGTCCATCTTGGGGCGAAAAGGTTTCGACATGTCAGTTCGTGTTCTCCTTCTTGGGCACCTCTTGGCATCTCGAAAATTCACGCGGGGACCGCCCAAGGAGCGCGCGAGAGCGCTCGTGAGCGCCTGGGAGCGCCCGGAACTCCAAGCTGTGAGCCCTGTAAAAAGAAGGATGTTTCAGAACTTACTACAAATAACTCGACGGGATCTGAGGACACTCCAACTCGGCCTCAGGGCACCATGGCGGATGAGCAGGAGGGGGGAGGAAGGAGAAGGAAGGACGGAAGGAAAGAAGGAAGGAAGGAAGGAAGGAAGATGGAGAAGGGAGGTCGAATGAGGAGCAGCAGCAGCAGCAGGACGTGCAGGAGGTGGCGAGGGCGCTCCCTGCCAGGTGGAGAGCGTCGTGACGGGCGAGCTCGCCAAGAAGGCGCTAACGGGCTCCGTGGACCAGCAGGCGCGCGCCGTGTACTGTGGTAACTCGTCGTCGCTGCTGCCGTCGCCGCCGTCGTCGACGTCAGCGTCGTCGTCAGCGTCGTCGTCAGCGGCGTCGTCGTCAGCGTCGGCGTCTGCGTCGGTGTCGTCGCCGTCGTCGTCTCCGACGTCGTAGCCCGAGGCTGGCCTCCCGAGGCCGGAAAGGGTGGAGGATGAGGATCGAGGATCGAGGAACGAGGAGGAGGGTCGAGTGCCAAGGATATTCTGAACGCTTCGCGCATCCCCACTAGTTCATTTTGTTCTGTGCATGTGCAGCTGCGAGCTTGTTTTGCAGTGGCGAACTGGCTTGCCGACTTTAGCGGCTGTGTTCGCAAATTCGCACCGTGCCGCATCCCGGACGCCGCTTCCGCTCCCTGACCGTTGCCTTGGAGCCGCCGACCCAAAAAAGTATCCCCACCAGCACGTTGCATCAGCTTCCCTGGGCGTTGCAGACCACCCAGCCAGTTCCACCAGCAGCAGCCCCTCAGCCGCCGCTTCTGAGCGCTGGCCCGGCCGTCTTGCGCGTCGCTCAGTAGCTAATTAGGCTGGCCCGTGCCCCGGACCCCCCTCTCGGCGACAGCTTCACGCGTCTGCCCGCGACCAAAAAAATATCCCCACCAGCCCATCCACACACGATGCCCAGCGGAGCTGCCCTGAACTCTTGGAGGTCGCTTGGGGCGTATTGGGACCCCTTGCCGGCTCTTGGGCGGCCTCTTCGAGCGTCTTGGGTGGGTCTGGGGGGGCCCCTGTGGGCCTTTTCGGGGCCGCTTGGGGGCCTCCCGGGGGCATCTGGAGGACCTCTTGGGACCCTCTTTGGGCATCTTCGGCGCCTCTCTGGGCACTCCTGTGAGCTTTTCGGGCCGTCTTAAGGCGATTCATGAAAGAAGGGGGGCAGGGGGGGGCAATGCGCTTCGCCCCCCTGGGAGGCCCAAGTGGGCCAAATCCTACGGACAAAGCCCTGTGTTTGGTTCTCCCGCTGAGGCCATCTTGGACGCTCTGACTGCTCGCGGCCCCCCCGTCTAGACCCGGAGGGAGGGGGCAGCGGGGAGGGCTAAGCCCCTCCCGAGAAGGGGAAGGAGTGGGGAAGACGGAACTGTCGTCATCCCACTCCTTCCTGTGAGGGGCGCCTCCTCTTCAAGAGGAAGGGGCGTTTTCCTCTTCAAGGGGAAACGCCCTGAACCTCCTTCCCTTTCTCGGAGGAGCTTTCCCTCTTCAAGAGGGAACGCCCGAACGCACTTCGGCTCACAGGGCTGGGGGGACTCGGAATCGGGGACCTACAGGGTCGAGGATCGAGGAGCACTGGCGCTGAGGCGTTCCGTCGCCCTTCCTCCGCGGCGCGCAGGGAGCCCGCGCGGCTGCACGCCCAGGCTACGGCCGCCGCCGCTCCGCACTGGTTGTTGGGCCCCGCCGTTCCAGCCGCCTTGGCGCGCCTCCGAGCAACGCGGGGCGCGGGCGTCGCCGTGGAGCATAGAGGTCCTGAGGGCAAGGGGGGGCCCCGATGTTCTTCGCTACACAGCCTGTGTGCACGGGCCTTGCATCGTTCTCGTAACGCCCGCCGAGGGACGCTGGGCCCTCGACATCGGTGGCCCATCGTGGCTCCCCACCGTGCACTGTGTCAAGCTGTTCAGGGGACCCTTTGCCGCAGGGGTGCCGTTCACTCCTTTCAGGCTCCCGGAGCCCCCCTCGGGCCCCCGGACCGTCAAAAGATTGCGAGCTCGGGAGCCAGAGCCGAGCCAGTCCCCGTGAAAAGACCCTGGGGTCTGGGACCGGTGTCCCTCAGAGGGCCCGTTTCTTGCTCCATGTGCCAGTCTCCGTGCGCGCGGATCTGGCGGACGTCGTCGTCCAGTCCGCTGGGCAGGCGCTGAACGGGCTGATCGCCCCGATCGCGAAGCTGAAGGTCAAGCTCAGGGCCTCCAGCGTGGGTGCGGAGAGCAGGTTCCAGACGGAGATGTGGGCGCGCCTGCCGCCCTTTCCCCCACCCCCGCCCCTGCCAGAGGAGAGGCCCTGATTTGGGGGGCAGACAAGGAGGAGTAGGAGGAGGAGGAGGAGGAGGAGGAGGAGGAGGAAGAGGAGGAGGAGGAGGATGTGGAGGAGGATGAGGAGGAGGAGGAGGAGGAGGAGGAGGAAAAGGAGGAGGAGGAGGAGGGGGGGAATTTGTGTGCGGGTGGCCCCCCACTCACCCCCTCCTCCACCTCCGGACCTGGACCATCTCCGTGTAGCCGTCGCGCCCCGGGGCGCGTGTCGGGCGCGCTCCCCCTTATGATGTTCCAACCTATAGCCTTGACTACCAGGAAGAATGTCGAGCACCAAGAAAGAACCGAAACTGGAGGGTGTTCACGTGTCGGGACCTGGGAGGCGATACTCGTTCGACACTGTTTCGATATTTTGCTGGGTGCTCTAAATTATTTCTGGGATGTGGTCCTGAAGTTCGATGAGAGCAGCACGGGACTACCCCCCTCCTTCCCCCACCTCCAGACCAGGACCGTCTCCGTGTAGCTGTCGGGCCCCGGAGCGCGTGGCGGGCGTGGGGACGTCTGGGTGAAGTCCTGCTGGTGGCTCTGGCTCCATGCCACGGCACTCTCTCGAAGCCTCGCTCACGGCTATGACTCCCACGCGCGATTACCCTCGCAGCATTTATCTTGGTTGCCTCGGCGATGGCTCCAGCGCGATGCAACCGCGAGATTCGATTTCTGGCCACGTAAGCTTCCAGAGCGAGGCGATCAAGGAGTCCGGTTCCTGGCTACCACTCCAGCCCGAGACATTTGTGAGGTCTTATGATTGGTTATGGTTGTGTTTGGAGCGCGAATGACCACCGTACCATCGTATGTATATGTAGTTGGCGTTGGTTCAGCGCCAGGTGTCCTCAAAGGTTCGTTCAGGGCACATATTCCTGGTGAGGGCGTTCTCGACAGCCTGTCGCTGGTTTGATGTGTTCAATCGTATGCCGCGCACGCCTGGCCCAGAGGAAACGCGCGGCAAATGATCGAATTTGCCCTTCTCAGACGTGCATCGGCACTGCCTTCAGCCAACTGGCATGGTCGTTCATGCGGGGCCTTTCATATACATATACATATATATATATATACACGCATACGTACACACATCATATAAGCATGATGCGGAGATGCCCTACACGTACGTGTATAAGCAAAGAAACAGTATGTCATGTGCATGTATGTGTATATATATATATGTATTAGATGTACTGAACACCAAAGCATGTGGTTAGCCATGTCTGGATATGCATGTGAAAGTATGTTGTACATTGCATGTTCAAATCTGAGTCGTACGTTCCACACGATCAGAGCAGAGCAATCGTTGTAAGCATAAGGGTGGTCACAGGCATGCAGAGGGGTGGGGCCACGCCCGAGTGCACAGTTCTCTGTCCAATCGGGCCGAAGCAGCCGCCAAGGAAAAGAAGCGAGGGGAAGATCAAACGGGTCTTTGGCCCAATGGGTTGGCGATTTTTACCTTGGCGGAATACAGGCCGCGCGGGCACCGCTGGGAGAACTGTCAGAGCAGTGCACGTCAGCCGTTCGCCTGCCATCTATCACGATGTTATCTCTGTCGAGGTGCCGCTGCAGTCCGTGTACAAAGGGCTCGACCAGTCGATAATCCCGATCTTCATCGAGTGGGTCCAGGGCTCAGACGTGCGGAGTTGATTTCCAAATCATGCGAGACCTTTACAGGAGGGCAGCTCTCCAGGTCGGCAGTTGAGTAACTGGTGATTTCCTGGAGGAGCGCGAAGGGGAAGCATAGGAGGGCGAAGTAAGGGCGCGGAGGGTGCATGACGGATGATCCTGCACGGGGGACGAAAGAAGTTGTACGGCGGATGGAGGATGGTTGGTGGAGGACGGATGACGCAGGGTGGAGGGATGACGATGAAAGGTTGAAATTGGAGGATTGAGGGCGCAGGGCGGAGGATGTTGGACGGGTGATGGATGGTGGAGAATGGAGGGTGGAGGGTGGAGGAGGCAGCGAAGGAGAGCAGAGTCGGATAGGTTAGGATATAGAGAGATAGATGGGGAAGGGGGAGAGAGCAGTGGGGAGGAGGACGAGGAGGAGGCGACTGGCGATCGCGGGTCTTTGGGCGGGGTTCATAGCCTCCCTTTGTTTCCTCATCCTCCTGGAGGTGGTGCGATGTGTTGTACGTTGCTTGGTGCTATTGAGGCATGAGCTTCATTGCAGGAGGCCTGCCTCTGCTAGCAGGAACAACTGTGGCCACTCGTCACCGTTGCCAGTGCTTCCATGCAGCTTCCTTCTCTCCATCTTTCAAATCGGTTAGGCTCTCGGGCTTCTGACGAACCAAGACTAGAAGCACCAGTAACAGTAAGCGCGGCAGAACCATGCGGCTTCGAGAGCGTGTCATCCTCATCTTTCTCTTCCTCCTCCCAGCTTCCCAGTGCTCGTTGGATCTCCACGTTCTCGTTGCCTTGCTCAGCGCGGCTGCGCCGTCATCCCTCCCCAGGCTTATTCAGACGCCCGAGTCATCAGGGCTGGAAGTGGTCAGGGGTAGCTACCGATTCGTGCCTCGGGGGCCCAAACTGGAGATACCCCAGACCGAAGTTAGAATGAGTTATCCCGGATATTTCGGGCCCCCAACCACTCCCGAAACGTCGGCGCTTGTGGCGGGCAGGATCTATTCTTGGTTTGTGCATCCGAGGCTCAAGCGAGAGTTACCTCGGACCGCAGTTCTGGTGAATTCGGGCGTCCAGCTTACTGGACGCTTGCAATGGCAGAGTGACGAATTGTTTTGCACTGTTTCAATAAATCTTTCTCGTGAGTGCGAATCGGAGCACATCTTTTTGTACTGTTTCTGGATACTTGACTCTTTCATGGGAAAACGGTTTCGGCATCGGAACCATGTCCAGAACCTCAACAAGAACGGCGACGGAACCAGAACAACATGGACAAACAGAGCAGGACAAACAATGCCTACTCACTTCCAGGGCCCATTGAGTCCCGGGGGCTTCTGCCGGACTCGGACATGGAGGCTGCAAGCCGTGACCCAGCCCGTTGCGTCCGGCGCACGTGCGTGCGGCCGCCGCGCGAGTGATCCGTCCGTTGCTCCAAGGGTGCCCCCCCCACGCGCGGTGCGCGTGCATGCGCGCGGCCGCCGCGCATCCAAGTCTGAGGATTCATCCTACTGCGCCCTCGGTGCGAGACGTTCCTCTCGGCCTCCACCCCTCCCTCTGCCAGAGGAAGCAGAAGTGACACCAGCACCCAGGGGGGGAGGCACTTCAGGGAATGTCTCGAGCGAGAAGGGGAGAATACACCACCAAAAGGACCCCCCTGGCTCCTCGCGTTGGTGCTGGTGGTGCCGCTTTTTCTTATTCCTACCTTTGGGCAGAGCTGCTGGCCCAACCTCACCGAGGTCGTCGCGTACTGCGAGCAGTGCAAGGTGGACCTGCCCTCCTGGATGATGACCAAGGCGAGAGCGGCCCTCCCAGCGTGCCGCAGCATGTGGCGCGCCCACTCCCACACTTTTCCTCGTACCACTGCTGGCGGCACGCATCTCGGGAGCCTCGTACTCCTCCCCTAAGAAGCCCCCTTGCGTTCTTATCCAGCTGCCTACGGCAAGTCCCGCCACCCTGCCAGCCCAACACCTTGGGTGGTGATTGATCGAATGATGATGATACTGATGATGAACCAATGATGACGATGATGACGACGATGGTAGTGATGACGACGATGACGACGGTGATGTTGATAATGGTGATGATGATGCTAATGATGAGAATGCTGATGATGACGACGATGACGACCATCCTGTTTATGTTGATGGTGACGATGAGGATGATATTCATGGCGATGATGGTAATGGTGATGATGATGCTTATGCTGATGATCATGATCATGATCATGATGATCATGATGATGATGATACTTCTTTTCATTCTTATTAGTCTGATTCGAATGGTGATGGTGATGTTAATGATGTTGGTGAAGATGTGTTTGATGATGGTGGTTGCGATTGTGATGGTGATGATGATTATGATGTTGATGCCGAGGCTGCCGATTGCGATGATGATGATGGCGATGATGAGGAGGAGGAGGAGGAGGAGGAGCAGAATGAGGAGGAGGACCAGGAGGTGTAGGAGGAGGAGGGGTAGGAGGAGTAGGAGGAGGAAGAGCGCAGCAGTAGGAGGAGTAGGAATATGAGCTTCAATCCTAGCAAAAAACAAGTTTCCGTAGCAGTAGAAGTAGCAGTAGTAGTCGTAGTAGTAGTAGTAGTAGTAGTAGTAGTAGTAGTAGTAGTAGTAGTAGTAGTAGTAGTAGTAGTAGTAGTAGTAGTAGTAGTAGTAGTAGTAGTAGTAGTAGTAGTAGTAGTAGTAGTAGTAGTAGTAGTAGTAGTAGTAGTAGTAGTAGCAGTAGTAGTAGTCGTAGTAGCAGTAGTAGTAGTAGTAGTAATAGTAGTAGTAGTAGTAGTAGTAGTAGTAGTAGTCGTGGTAGTAGAAGTAGAAGAAGAAGTAGTAGTAGTAGTAGTAGTAGTAAACGCAGTAGTGGCGACAGTAGTAGTAACCGTAGTCGTCGTCGTAGTAGTAGTAGTAATAGTCGTCGTCGTCGTAGTAGTAGTAGTAGTAGTAGTAGTAGTAGTAGTGGTAGTAGTGGTAGTAGTAGTAGTAGTAGTAGTAGTAGTAATAGTAGTAGTGATAGTAACAGTAGTAGTACTATTACTACTACTACTACTAGTAGTAGTCGCCGAAGTAGAAGAAGAAGTAGTAGTAGAAGTAGGAGTAGTAGTAGTAGTAGTAGTAGTAGTAGTAGTAGTAGTAGTAGTACTAGTAGTAGTAGTAGTAGTAGTAGAGTAGAGTAGGTGTAGTGGTAGTGGCAGTAGTAGTACTAGTAGTAGTAGTAGTAGTCGTCGTAGTAGTAGTAGTAGTAGTAGTGGTAGTAGTAGTAGTAGTAGTAGTAGTAGTAGTAGTGGTAGTGGTAGTAGTAGTAGTAGTAGTGGTAGTAGTAGTAGTAGTAAAAGTATTAGTAGCAGTAGTAGCCGGAGTAATAATAGTAGTATTGGTAGCGGTAATAGTAGGAGTAGTACTTTTAGTACGACTAGTAGTAGTAGTAGTCGTCGTCGTCGTCGTGACAGCAGTAGTAGAAGTATTAGTGAAAGTAGTCGTAGTGGGAGTGATAGTATTCGCAGAAGTAGTATTAGTGGTAGTAGTCGTAGTAGTAGTAGTAGTAGTAGTAGTAGTTTTACTACTACTACTACTACTACTACTGCTACACTGTCTCTGTTACTATTGCTACTACCAGTGGTACGCCTACGACTAAGCGCAGTACTACTACTACTATTATTACTACTGGTACTACTACTACTACTACTACTACTACTACTACTGCTACGACTAACACTACTTCTACGACTCCGACTATTTCTACGACTCCTACTACTCCACTTTGCCCACGGTGCACTGAAGCTTCCCGACCACATCAGTGCAAAGGCCATTGCCATCGACGCCGTTCCATTCGCCCGTGTAGCGCAATTGGCGTTGACAAGTCCTCGTGTCCTTTGCTCTGTGTTTGTGCTCGGCCGCCCACTTGAAGAACTCGTCCCAAAGCGGGCGTGACAGGCCCAACAGGGCACTGTCATGGCTTTGTCATGAGCGCGAGAATGCACGCGTGCTGAGCGTCGCTAAGCGCAGCGAAGTGCCAGTCGCTGATTTTCTCGTCGAATTGCTACGCGGGGCAATGGAAGTAGGTGGTGCTAGGGCTTGGACCGGCAGCGTGGGCCTGATTAACCAGATGTTCCCGTGGGCGACGGGCGACAACATAACACATGCCACCGTGTCAGCGGTCGTGGTCGTGCGCACTTTGTGTACCAATCAGGCGCTGTAGAACGTGTTAGGTGTGAACGATCGATTGCCTTCCCTGCATGCTTTCGGAGGCGCCATTGAATGGACCTTAGCGGTGGTGTCGTTCACCGCGCGACGCTGGACCGGGCCTCCACTGACCTCTTTCTTGCTGGATTTCTTTGCACACGAGGGCAACGCTTCATTGTGGACGAAGATGTACGACAAGGGCCTGCTAACCACATCTATGTTAACGTGGCCAGTGATGTACAAGAGGCATCATGAGATATTGCGACGGACGAGGATGCACTTCGACGATGTGACGGAGGATGTGCCGCCCTTGGAACGTACGATGCGGTTGTGCTAGAAGCAAGATTTTGCGGCCAAAGCAGAGTTCCCATTGATGGAGAAGGAGGAAGCAGAAACACGTCAGAAACCGCGTGGCCAGCCGATAGTTTGGGACGCCTCAAGCCAGAAGTTTACTGCTGATGCGGGGCTGAAGGCTATGATGGAAGAGCTGAGGAGAGTAACAGAGGGGGCGCGCGATATAAGCAGCGGATGCCTCGGCGGGGTGGCTCGCTGGTGTATTCAACGCGCGGCGTGGTTCACGTCGGGCTCAGTTCCTGGGTTCCGCCTATACCTGCAGAAGGCTTCAGCGTTGTCCAAGCGACCGGGCGAGCAGAATCTGACTGAACTGGTAAACGTAGCGGCACACCGGTGGCTTTCCGACATGCAGAACTCTCTGGAACAGGGCCTGGACGCCGAGGCGCACGCCAAGTTTGAGCTGTTCGACGCGGATGAGATGATAGACCGCATGAGCCAGGAGGTGGTGCGCCTGAACAAGAAGGGAGCACGGGAAGCGTTGTCCGATCGCATCGCCAGCTCCTTGCTGCGCGACGCGGCCCCTGGTTTGCGGGCACATTCGGTGACCAAGTACGAGAATGGCAAGACAAGGCTGCTCTTGGCCTCAGATCTGGCACACTACATCATACAGTCGATGCTCACCCTAGGGATAAGTGGTGCGCGTGCCGAAGAGGAGCGCTATGACTACAGACCAACTGGCGCCGCAGAATGGGCCTCAATTGGATGGCGAGTTAGAGCGGCTGTCAGCGCGTCAATGGCGGATGATCTATCGATAGCAAGTGGGTGCTTTGATTTTGCTGATTGCAACTCACAATGTCCAGCGCTGATGTTGTGGATGCTGCGCGCCGCGTGGTGGAGTCGCGTGCCCGATGTTGCCCGCAGTGCGCCGGGCATGGGCGACTTTCACCAAGTATGTGCTTGAGTCGCAATGGCGCAATGCAACGCGACCATCAAGTGGCAGAACGGCAAGAAAACCGATATGGTCGCCACATTGGCCTCGGGCATAAGGTTCACGACGGAGAGCAATACGTGGGTTAGCTCTGTGTACGATGGCCCAGCGACGCGGAACCTCATCATGTTAGTGCGCTTTGTGCTAGCGATTGATGCCACCTCGCCAGTCATAAAGAGCCTCAAGAGGCGACGATGTGATTGACATTCTGCGGGCAGTCTTCACTTCGGCGTGGCTGACAGGGGCGACGCTCGACAGGGTTACCAGGTGGATCGGTGTCGAAGGGAAGAAGACCGAGATCATGTCCTCGCCGTCCTGCTCCGAGTGGCTTCGACAGATGATCGACGAGGAGGGGGCGGATCTTGGGAAGTCCGACTCGCGCCATCGCCACTGCAATCGCGACCGGCCCGCAGGATCCCGCGCGGCGGGGCCTCGGCGTTGGGCCTGCTGCCATGGCCGAGCTGGGCGCGCTCATAGTCAGACGTGGGGCTGACCGCGAGTGGCTCGACATGCGTGCTCTGATGACCGCCCCTCATTGGTCGACCATTCTAGCACGAGTTGAGGACAAGGGCGACAACCTCAAGGACCTCAAAATGGTGGGTCGTCTTCGCATTGACAATCACCGAGGTGGCGGGGTGCGCCCGTGCATGCAGCGCGCCGTGCCAATAGAGTACTACTGTGCTCCGTTGCAGCTGCGCGGGGGCGGGGCACCTCCAATAGTGGGTTGCGCGGACTGGGCGCGCTGTCGCGGCGCGGGTGCCGCGCGCAGCAATGGCCTGCTGGTCGGCGCGACCAAGGGCCTCATCTCTCGACTGCGGGGTGCCGTGCGCGGGCGTGCTCTGCGCAACATAGCACCGCGCCTGCCCGAGGCGCCTGGGCGTCCTGAGCGCCCGAAGGCGCCGGCTGATGTCATGAATTATTTGCCGTCCAATATGGCGGATGATTACGTGCATTGGCTGGGCGCCAGCTTCCCCGAGGTGCGCGCCATGAGCGCTGAGGGGCCCAGGGGCTTACACCAGGCCGTGCACCGCGACAGTTATTGGACGACACTGCCGAAGGCTGAGCTTGACAGACAAGGTGCCAGGAACGCAGGCCTGGATCTGATCTGGGCACTCACGTTGCGGGTGTGGAAGAAGATGTGCGGCGCACTGGTCAGCGCTCACGCCGAGCGGGGGGAGTCCGACCTGGCAGGCGTCGAAGCGTTGAGGCGCGATCAGGTGCACAACGCAGAGAGCACGCTGCACTTCGCCAGGGGGATTGGGGCGCTGCCGGAGACCCGTGAGAGGCAGCGGTTGCAGAAGCTCAGCGAGCAGGTGCCGGGGTTCA